AAGCCGCTTGCTGGTATTCCTCCGAAAATCGGGAAGGGTGAATCCGGAGGGCTGGCGTCTGCGAGGACTCTTTAACCCCTGCAGCGCCTTCTCTGGAGAGTCACTTTCCTCCCCTGAAAATCAGCGTTGCGTATTTTCCTTCGCCTGCTGCTTCTTAGTTGAAAAACAGACTTCGAAAGAGACGTGCGGCAGAATACTTCGGTCGTTTTGGAGAAGAACTGACTGTGGTACTGACTTTTTTTTAAGCTTCAAATGTTGGAAGTTTGACGTGGAAGGGAATGTGGTTTGAATTTTTCGGTATCTTTTCAAAGCCTTTTTTCCCCTGTCTGTTTTCAGTTGCTGTGTAGGTATACGTTTTCTTCTGTCGACAGTCCTTAAGCTAAGAACATTGTTTGGCTGTTGTGCTGATTAACAAGATTTCTTTTTTCCCTCCCCCCCCTTCTGCTGACATACTATTTTTGTTATCTTTTATCACAGAAACGTTTTATTAAGGGGTTGAGGCAGTACGGCAAGAACTTCTTCAGGATCCGAAAGGAGTTGCTTCCAAATAAGGAGACTGTAAGTACATTTGGACTTTATGTAATTTGCTTTTTCTGTTGCTGCTTCAGTGTTTGATGTTGCGAAACTATTTCCTTTTCACCCTGAACTGAATTCTCTTCAGATAAATGGAGGAGAAATCTATGGCCAGAAAAGGTAGCTGTAATTTTTAGTGCAGTTTTTAGGTTTTACTGTGTGAAAGATGTTACATAAAATAGTCATCATTGCTGGACAGAGTTGCTAAGGTTGGATGAAGTGTATTTATGGAGACCAAATCTAATTTTAAATTCTGACATTATGATGGGATAATACATTTATGTCACCCAGTTGGGCTCAAATGGCAGTGGGTAATTAAAGAAAGCCTAAAACAAAATCTAATTGAATCTGGAAGACTGAGGTATGTGCCTGCTCCTACGACCTGCAGAATTCAGTTGTTGTATTTAACTCTTCACGTTCCTGAAACATGTGGACAGCAAGCGTGTAACTTCAGTTTCTGAACTGATCTGGGGCTTGTTACTCTACTGAACTTCATAAAGCTCACACAACTGTCATTCTGCTGGAAACCCTGGTGAGTGCCTGGAAAGAAGGTGGACAGGGAGGAGCAGTTGACGACTTCAAAGGAAAGAGGGTTTGGGAAGCCTTGGGAATCTAGTTACTTTTCCATTAGTCCTAATTGCCAAGCTTCTCTAGAAGCTTCGGTTTCTGTTCTGCAGGTGTCATTTAACTGCTGGGGAGGGCGGTTTTGGAAAGCGGTTTTCATATTTGTTCAGAATTTAGAAGGGAGATAACTCAGTGAAAATTGAGTTAGACTGTTTTCTAGCAATGTGTTATTGGAAAATATTTATTTAAAGTACAACTGGTTGTTTAGACTTTTGTGCGTGTGGAATTTGGATGTTCAGCGGGGAAGAACGTTACTGTAAAAATATTTTAAAACCTATCACTTGGTGTAGGATGTTTCCATTCTCTTCTGAGGTGTTCTTGTGAGACAATGCTGTGATATCACAGTCTTTCATTGGTAAATAGTTAGTAACACCACGTAAGTCAAATAGAAAGGAGAGGACGAAATGATTCCTGGAGTGCCTCAGTTGGTGTATATGTTCACTGGCTCTCCCATTGAGAACGACGGGAAAACTTAATTACCGATAAGCGTAGGTAGACTTCGCTTTAGTATTCTGTTGGATTTTGAGGTGTGAAGGCCCAGTGTTGGAAAGATGACAGCTTAGAAGGAATGCTGAAATAGTATGCTTCTTAGCAACATCTAACAAATCCAGCGCATAGCTTAAGCAGTTCTTTTCTCTTTTCTTTAGAATATCTCCTAGGAATGGATTTAGAACAAATTGGTGTTTACTTCAGAAATGAATTCTGCTGATGGTAAAGTTAGTGAGAGGCAAAAGTAGTCTTCTAAAGTTTGAATTACAGCAACTATGAATTACGCTTTTAAATACAAAATTTGTCTCTTTGTGATAGAGAAAAACAGTTTGCAGGAGAAAGAAAAAGAAAAACTAAAGAACTGCGAGTTGGGGGCAGGTGTCTGACCCTGTTTGTACTCCTTGAGTTCTACGTTTGAACTTGGGTATCAGGCCTAAGGCTTTTTGTAAAACTTTTGCAAGTTTGCAAGTGGTGGGAAACTTTATATAAGCTATCATTTTTCCAAGTGTTACATTTTTGTTTCATTAGGTCTAAATTTTTTGTATAGAGAAGACTAAATACTAGGTTTGAGCAACTGGGAAGCAGCGTGTTGATGGTTTTGAGCAGGCTTTTTTAGCCCCTAGTGGTAACTGATCTACAAATAACCTTTGACCTACAACGGATTGTTTAATCTCTGTTTCCTATTTTTGCCCACCGGTCTCACTTCTGCTTTCTTTTAATTCCCAGTCTTTTTCAGACAAAATTTACAGCAGTTTTGCTATAGTAAGACATGCAGAATAAAGGCTGCCATAAATGATATTTGACTATCCAGTTTTGCTTTTCCTCCTTAAAGTGGAATAACGACTAATGTAAATTACAAGGATGTGGAATTAATTTGTCTGTATTTTTTCATCAGCAGAATAATTTCAGATACTTTGCCTGCCATTTTTCTGTTGCAGTCTGAAGTAACCCTCTAGCAATTCCAGAAACACTAGAAAAAAAGGCCTTATTTTCCTGTTTAGCCACCGTATTAACATGAGATGAAACTCTAAAAATTATTATATGGATGCAAAAGCACTACTCCCGAGTTCTGCAAAAGCTACTTGAAAATGAGTCGGGGCATTCTTGAAGTGACTTGCCCTGAATGGAAACCAGGCTATAGGTCAATACGTCCTGCACATCTCTAATTTATTGGAGTTTACCTTACCAGTCACTGAAGCCTGTGGGGAGGGGAGCCAGGGGTTTTGCCTCTGTGCAAAACCCACTTAAAGTTAAATCTCCTTATTATCATGCTTCTTGTATAACGCGTGCCTTTTCTAGACAAATATTTGTGCTGCTTTCACTGGGGGAGAACTCTTCTAATATCGCCTTAAGCCCTGTGGTTGGAACATTGCACTAGTGGAAGATAAGTAATACAATAGAAATACAAAATTATTATAGAGACTAGGCCTATTTGGTATTAAATCATGCTGCTGCTACTGTACACAAAGTCAGAATACAGAGGTGACTATGACATTGTGTTTCTCTTATAATCTTGGAAGGTGTAAAGCGGCCATGGTGAGAGATGAGAATTAGGCCATACTGTACTAAGTTTTCACAAGCGTGTTAAGGAATGTCCTATTTGAGTTGTCCTTTTGCTATTTTTTCCTCTCTACAGTTAATGTACCGTATCTTCTAAGAAAACCGTGTATTTGTCAATGTGTGTTTTAACCAGTTTACCATCGTTTTTCAACATTTTTTTCAATTGTTTCTTCTAAAGGAATAACCAGCAAGAAAAAAATCATTATGAAAGAAAATATTTGCCGCCTGTCAAAGCTGTGTGTTTAGGTCTTCACTCTTCCAGTTTATTTCAAATTTTCAGTTTATTTCAAAGTTTATGTCTAAGAGGGGTTCCCAGTGAGCATGAGTGCGAATAGCTGTAGCATCCTCTTCAAGCTTTTGTGAGCAAGACACAGGAACTAAAATCAGCTCTTACCTGAGCTGGCCCTCTGCTGAAATGGGAATGCTGAAACAGGTCAAGGAAAGCCATAAGTTTTAAGGCTGGATCAGTAAGTGTTAACCTTGTGATACTCTGGGGAAAAAGTGCCTCCATGTAGACGAGCTTAAATAAAACTTCTGAAACTTCCTTGGGTTTCCATTGAACTCTGTCTTAAATACATCTTCTCCTCTGTTCCCATGTATCTTTCTTCCTTTCCCCTTTCTCCTGAATAGTTTTATCTTAGTCGGTTATAGCTGCAGTTGGATGGCACAGTTCAAGTATCCCACTCTCATTTGGTTCGTGCTTAGCGGCACTTTCGATTCTTCTACGTGGTAAGCTGGGAAATAAATTTTGGAGGTGCCTATGCGACATGAACAGTTTTCATTAATAACTTTCATTTAGATTCATATGTTGTGAGAATGCAAGGTATGCAGCTGGCAACAAGTCTTCCTAAGTATCTGATTTGGCTTTAAATGTGATTCCCCCCCCTCTGTTTTGTGGGGGGAAAAAGTTTTAATTTGCTAAAACTTCGTGATAATACGGGATTTTGAAAGTATTTAAAATTCTCCTGCTCTGAATTCTTTAGGTGATTACACTGAGCTACTTGAATTCGAGAGTTTCAGAAGCACCAGCATTGCGATAGGCCTGAGATAAATGTACTTAAATGCCTACAGGATCAGGGATTGACTTATTTTGTTCTTGTAAATAGCTTAACTCTGTGTTAGTGGCATGCAGAAGGTAAATAGAAACATGGAATGAATGTGAGCTTGTGCAGAGCCATAATGTCCAGTCAGAGCAGGAGGAGGAGGACGCCAGGTCGTGGTGTCAGCTTGCTCGGATTTAGAGCTGGGTCCTGTTCTACCCAGCCTACCCTTGCGCTGGTCACTCAGAAACACTTCTGTAGGCTTCAGTTAGGGTGCAGTTTCAGTTTGCCTGAACTATTTAAGGCCGTGGTCCCAGAAGAACAGATTTGTTTTCCTCTGGCTGGAGTTCCTGCAGCCTGCTTTATGTCAGATGTGTAGTCTGACCAGCGGAACTCAAACATCTTATGCCGGTTAGTTGGCCACTAGAAATGGAGGGGGATGTTTGTGATTGTCCCTTTGGCAGCCTTACAGAAGTTTAAGAATAATATCGTGTTATATCAGTAGATAGCCATGGCATGTGCTGCAATTGAATCGAGGTTTTGGAAACACTGTGTCTTTCATGGGAATAGGCCCAAGTACTTTTGACCTCTTTTACCTATTCTTAAAACTGGGGATGACACCTATCTGAACGTTTTGGGGGTCTCGAATGACTCCTGCATTCTTCAGGGAAGGTTTATGGTACAGTGACTGTGGCTGTGGTCTCATTGTCTGCTTGTCTTTTTTCTGGCAGGCTGAAGCTCCTTAGTGAGCCTTGTAGAGCTGCGTGCTTAGTGAGAAGTCTAAAAAGAGGACAGTGAATCTTTATGGAGGCATGCAGACTTTGGTCTAATTTTGTTTTGAATTTCCCTATTGAGCGCATAGGTATCTTTGGTGTGTGTGATTTGTTTTGTTTTGTTTGGGGTTTTTTTGTTTGGCTGCTTAGCAAGAGGTCATGGGGTGCAATCGAAAGGTCTTGCCTCTGGGTGGATGCTTCTGTATTTAGCTTTAAAACACTGTGTAAATAGAAGTCATGAATATCAACTGTTTTCCTTAGATCAAAATACCTGCAATGTGCTGTATTTATGCGCCTAAGAACTATATATGCATCACTTTCTTCTTTAGGAAAAATATTCTCTCATAGTAAAATCCTTCTCTCCAAATGAAATGCTGTTGGGATTTATCTCAGAGACTAAATAAGCTGTGCTGTGTTAATGTTAGGAGACAAAATGAGTGCAGTGTGAGCTTTCAGCATAAACTTCGGTTTAATTTTAGATTGGGGTTTAGATAAACAA